GCGAAGATATACAGTATTCGCCAGATATAAGCACTATCAAATATGCACGCAATTTTGTGCTTATAAGCGGGAAAAACCCGTTTAGAAGCACTGAGAGCGCTTATATAATAATGTATAAATCCGGCATCATCGGTGCATACAACCAAAGTTTCCTTATGCCAGAACAAACACTTTAATTGAATAAACATTTATAATTTATTTTAAAATGCACGATTACAACATGTCAGTCGCTGTAGCATTCGAGAATATAAATAAAGGAGAAGAAAATTGCCCATTTTTATTAAAATAACGTGTTTTACAAGAATTTACGTTACTTCAGATTGAATATTCATCGTGTTCAATTTAAAATAATAGTGCTCAATATTTCAATTTCTTGAATAAATTTGTTTAGAGGCTTAAATTTTTACGAAGAACATGTATAAAATCAAAATTTCTTTTTGGGTGGCATAACTTGTACAGTTTGAACTTCCATCCGTTCTCAGGCGTATCTTCCATCGAAAGTATTTCGCAATTATGTTTCCCATAGCAATACAAGCCGTCGTCAAAATGGGTATAAAAGTTTTGTAAGAAACTCATCGCTGTTGATACTATCCATTTCATCGCTGACATATGCTTCTTCTATTTAATGCTCAGTAAATGTTTCAATAAACTTGCACTCTAAAGGTATTAAGAAAAGGATAAAATTATTTGAAGTAAGTTAAATTAAATTGCCTACATTCTCTATAAAAATATTCGCATTTACTCAGGTGGATTGCTGTGTATAAGTTGATTGATTTTGAAAATCTTCCATCATCATTCCTTGCTCAATTGTAATTATCTGCTTACGTGTTATTGCTTGACCATAATATGCCTTGAAAGCATGAAGGTAATTATGTACTTAATGACCTCCACTTCGAGGGGTTGGGGTTGCAGATGGTATGTGAAGGGAGTCTGTGAAATACAATTTCAGTGGATTTAGCCGTCGGCCACCCTTCAAATAAATTATATGAAGGGTTAAATTTCGTGAAACAGCATATTCCCAAATTATATGATATTCAAAATTTAGAAGTAAAATATATTTTTAATATTCAGGGTTTCATTTCTGTACTCTGACTATTCACACAGCCCCTTTGCCTTCAAACAACAAAAAGTCAAAGGCACTAAGAACAGATGCCCATATATCTTAGGTCATCCATGCTTTCTTCTGTAAAAGTATAGCACTGGTAAGTTTCCTTTTAAAATTTTTGGTTTCCCAATAATGTCATCCAATGCGTTGTAATGCGATCTTTGAAGTATTGAATCCTTTTAATTATCATTGCAACTAATTAATGTTGACGAAGGTAATGCCTTGAAAAATAATCCACTTTCGTCAGCGCTAAATATGTCTTTTGCGTCGTAATTTCTGATTAAATCAGGTAGTTGCTCGAAGAACTTTAAAGATTTGCCGATGCTCCCTCTCCATGAAGTTGTTTTACTGAAATACCTTCACGTTTCTGCCAACGCTATAACCCGCCAGCGGTGGATTAAAATCCTTATTCATCTTAATGGCCAATTGCTTTGCTTTTTCACGGACACATTTCCAGATATTACAGCGCCTGATAATCGCATTTGGTTAAAGCAAATGGTTGTAGCACAATCAATTTCCATTGTGCTGCACCGGTTGCGGTTCTAACTAACATACTTTCATTTTCGCCCTATGGGAACTTCTGTTGCTACAATTGTATTACTTTACCCATACACATTAGTGGCTAGTTAACAACAAACTTCAACAGTGCCAGTGCAGATGCAAACTCAGAAATCCAAATATTTTTACTCTTGCAACATGTTGCTACAGAGTATATAGTTTTGTTCACCTAACGGTTATTTGTATTGCCTGAAAATAATCCAGTTAGATATAAGGTTATATAGATATAAATGATCAGGATGATGAGACGTGTTGAAATCCCGGTGAGTGTCTGACCGTCCGTCTGTCTGTCTGGGTAACTGTTACTTGAGTAAAATTGAGATATCCTAATCAACTTTGTCCACGTGTTCCTTTGCAAATTCGTAGATGTGCGGATCGCCTTTCGCCCTCCACGCCCATAACACGCCAAATCCGAGAACCTATAAAATGGTATAACTGTGCACTAAATTAAGATATAAAATTGTAATTTAATACAGGAGATTGCAGTTGTAAGCGGGCTAAAAATTAGGAAAATGGGCGTCACCCCGCCCTATTGTACTAATGGACATATTTCATAAACCACTAAGGCGATAACAACCAAAGTCGCCTAGGGAAATCTTTAAGAAACTACTCCCCATATAACGGTTTTGTAAAAGCTATTAAAAGCGCTATAAATCATTAACTAAAGGCTTCAAAACATCAAAATTCACCCCCATAGTGCCTTTAAGGTGTACCACCTTATGACTTAAAATTGTCCAACTCAAATCAAAACTGTTTCAAGCCCTAAGTTAACGAATATGTGGTACCTAGTTCCTATTCCGAACTTATTATCGAGAAAATTGGTCAATCTGTGAGATATATTATTGAAAACGGCAAAAATGTTTCCTTGATGGTAATATATCCTTGTGTCAAAAATGGGTAAAATCGGGTCAATACTTCCCTTAGCTTCCAGTTGAATCTATACCACATATATCGACTAATGTGCTAGTTATATTAATGAAATTGAGAGAGCATGTTTTTCTGACAACAGTGTATCCTTCTGCCTAAAATGGATAAAATCGGGGAAAATTGCCTTAGCCCATGTACTCTGATACCATTATAAATTATATTAATGGTTTGGCGTCGTAATAGAATGAATTCCGATCCTTTAGTTGACCTTTTCACATCAACTTATGTATGTAATTTATCCACTTCGTTTGTGTTATCACATGTATCTCATTTGAGGATGATTTTAGTAGAATTTTCGCTGAAGGAAAGTAAAATATAGTAATAAAACTAAGTGAGCCTATGATCTTCAAAATAAGTTAATATGATACCAAATTTGATTGTAATCTATTCACGATTTCTTCGAACAATGAAGCTGAACCCTTTACTACATGTTTTAATATTTCAACACCTAAGTATTTAGCCGGCTTTAATTCTTGCAAGAGTAAAAATGTTCGGTTACACCCGTACTAATGCCTTCCTGTTTGCTTTATTTACGTTAATATAAAAGGACTCTATTAAATTTTTTGTCAACTAGTTGATAAATAGCTGCACAAAATCCCCATAGTACACAGAAGCAATTCCTTGATTGTTACAGATGTTATTTATATGTAAATATTTAATGTTATCATACAAAAATAAGTTTAATGTTTTTATTTGTTATTCAAAGGCAAAACAAATATGACTGCATCTTTTAGTGGGCCGCAGGAAGCACTGCAGTGAGGAAAACGAGAATGGATTTAATCTTCCATAAACACCGGTAAAACCTACAAGCAAGGGAAAGACTTGTAGGGTGTGCAACAACAATGATTCGATATGCAATTATTATATAAAAAGAGACGAAAAAGGGCACAAGGCGGATTCTTTCTAGAGTTTTTATAAAAGTCGTAAGATTACCTACAAGAAGGGGAAAGACTTGTAAGGTGTGCACAACAATGATTCGCAATGCAATTTTTATATGAAAAGACGAAAAAGGGCACAAGGCGGATTCTTTCTGAGAATTTTTCATAAAAAGTCGTAAGATGTCTGTGGAGATTCGGAGCCAACAGAACAGAACAGTACCGTTATT